ATTTCAAGAATCTTTTAGCCTCTGATATATAATCCCCTTTATTTACCTACATTTAATTGAAGACATCTGTAGGTGGTGCCACACAAAATGTAATTCAGACTTAGAAATGTCAATAAAAATGTCTGTAAGGGAGAGGTCCGATGTAAACCTAGCAGGGGAGTGCACATCAGCAGCCACAGAGCCACATGAAATTAGGAATATAATGGAAATATGTTGCCTGACTTGACGAGGTGATAAAAGCTCTTTTCCCATAAAGCTTAATGAGCTCTATTAGTCTTCAGCTTACAGGAATGTAAAAGGGTCAGCCCCACAGAGGGAAGTAACTGACTCTCCACACATGGCTCCATTCAAATGACAGCAGATCAAATTACTGATGTAATTACTATAACCTGACAATTTCGTTAGATTCATGTGGCAGTTAACTGTTTAGGACTTATAACAAAGGGACATGGTTCATTCATACTGGTTCTGTGAACAAAGTGAAGTTTAGAGTATTCTTCATTTTCAACTGCAAGTCTCATGTATTTTACGGTCTCTACCAGAATTATTTTTCTTTTCTTTTTTTTAAAGACTTTATTTATTTATTTGACAGAGAGACACAGCCAGAGAGGGAACAGAAGCAGGGGGAGTGGGAGAGGGAGAAGCAGGCCTCCCGCCAAGCAAGGAGCCCGATGCGGGGCTCGATCCCCAGGACCCTGGGACCATGACCTGAGCCAAAGGCAGACGCTTAACGCCTGCGCCACCCAGGCGCCCCGAATTATTATTTTTTTTAATCAAAATTAGGGAAGGTGTTTGGGTATTTATCGTATGTGTAATTTTCCTTCTCCAGCTAAAACATAAGCTTAATGGCAAAATTAAACATTTGGGACTCCTAACACTCTCTTACTTTGGCTTTGCTTTGGCTCACAGGCAAAGGAGGTGGCAAAGGAACAGAATCCTGAGCTCAGTGCTGTTGGAAATTTGGGGGATAGCAGCCACTAACTACGCCATTAGGCAGCCCCTGCAAAATTCCAGACTAGAAAAATTTCAACAGAAAGCCCTCAAGGTATTCCCCAAATACTTCAAGCAAACAAAAGCACATTGGTCATCTCTAATTTTGATTTTTTTTTTCCTTTCCCCATGTCCATAAGCTCAGTAAGAAAAGAGATTTAAACACAGTAAAACACCACTCCGGATCATTAAGTGGAAAAAGCAGATCAGATAGAAAATGACAGAAACTATCACTAAAATTTGATCATACTTTCCCTCTACTGTTCACCAAAGATTAAAGCTTCTGCACACAGATTCTCAATATTTAGCCAGATGTAATTAAAAAACTGTTTGGTACAACTCTAGCTGTACAGATGGTAAACTCCAAGCCCTATCTACACCAGAGAGCATCCAAAGATAAAAAAGACAAAGATCCTGATCTTAAGTAGCTATAATCTTGCTAGGAAGACTGTTAACCATATTGAAACATAAATATTAAGCCTTGTGTGTTTTTAGCTGACCACTGCCAAATTATGGGTAAAATCCTGTTACTTGCAGCCTCAGCCCCACCTGGCTTATTCATTCATCCAACCATTCAGCAAATATTTATCCAGTGCCTCCACTGTACTATTTACTATACTAAAATCAGAAACACAGGAAGCAAGAAAAACAGGGTCCTCTCTCATTGGGCTTACATTTGAGAAAAATCCATTAGTGAGGTCTATTTAGAAGGATTTTTGCCATTGTTAACGCTGCCCCAGTAGTGCAGTGGACATCAAGAGCCAGCCTCCTTATTCACTCCATTTCCAGGTAAGCCAATCCAGCCTAAACGTCTTCTGCTCAAAACCATTCTTCCTGGTTACTCCACGAAGCTCTTGCTGAAATCAGAGTTCAGCTTTAAACCTTATCAGCATTCTCTTCACCTAAACTCCTGCAATTTCTCCCTACCCACCTTTTTCCCCCAAGACTAGACCCTGTTTGCACGTCAATCAGAGACTTGCCTGATGTACTTTCCAAACACTGACTACAAAAGTCACCACTAAAAACCTACCAAGGTATCTCTTCTCCCCATTGTGGCTCCTTCATGGAAGAGCAAAGGGTGAAACAATTTAACATCTTGTGTATCTTCTTAATTAATTTCTGTATGCTTAAATTATTTTTAAACTGAAATCTGCATGTATAATCTTGCATCCTACTTCATTCACTGTTTTGTTCATCAACACATACTCATGAACATGTATATGCATAAATCCCAATTTTAATGGCTGTAGAGTGTTCTATCCATAATATGGCTGTCTATACCATTATTTACTTGACCTCCTCCTACTGCTGGACATTTAGACTGTTTATAAATTTTTTGCCATTATAAATAATGCTGTTAGGGCACCTGGGTGGCTCAGATGGTTAAGTGTCTGCCTTCGGCTCAGGTCATCATCTCCAGGTCCTGGGATCAAGCCCCATGTCAGGCTTCCAGCTCAGCAGGGAGCCTGCTTCTCCTTCTCCCTCTGCCTCTCCCCCGCTTGTGCTCTCTGTCTCTCTCTCAAATGAATAAGTTAAAAAAAAAAAAAATCTTAAAAATAAATAAATAAATAAAGCTGTAATAAACATTTATGCAAGTTTTGTCCTCACTTCTGATTATTTCCCTGGCAGTGATTCTTAGACTAAAATTAGTCAGGCACACAACCCACAGGTATGAATTTATATAGGGTGTTTAATGTAGATAACCAAACTGATTTCTGTATAGGAGAAAGTTTAAAAACATCCCATCCCATCATACCATCCTAAGCATTCATTAAAAAAAAAAAAATTCTGGGCGCCTGGGTGGCTCAGATGGTTAAGCGTCTGCCTTCAACTCAGGTCAGGATCCTAGAGTCCTGGGATCGGGTCCCGCATCGGGCTCCCTGCTCCTTGGGAGCCTGCTTCTCCCTCTGCTTCTCTCTCTCTCTCTCTCTCTGTCTCTCATGAATACATAAAATCTTTAAAAAAAAAAAATTCTAAACAGGTAAGCAAGCATTTATCATTGTTCTTTTAAACTACACTTCTTTGATTACTTACAAGGTTAAACTCTTAAAACATTTATTATCATTTGTATTTCACCACACTATCTCATAAAATCCAACGAAAAATTATGGGAAAGAAAATAGTACCTTTTAAAATTGATTCCAGGAGATCATTAAGTATAATAACCTTGTTATCACACTTTCCCCAAACTGCCTTTTAACTATGTATGTTTTCATGAACAAAATTAAGGATTTTTAACAGAAGCAAATCTTATTTTTATTTTTCCATCCTTTCCTTTGTGATACTTCCCATTCTGCTATGCTTAAAAAATGCTTCAAATGAAGAGTAAGTTGTATAATTTATACTGTCTTCAAATTTCTTACGGTTTGCTTTTATTGTTTTCGCCCTAAACTTTACTTAAAATTCTATGTGACAGGCATTGTGTTCAGTGTTTGCCACACACTATTTCATTTCATTTTAATAACTATAAAGTATTACCATTCCCATCTTTAGATAAACCAAAAGATGAAATGACTTGCTCATAGGCCAACCAAGCCTCTGACATTTCAAAGCCCAGAGTCTGTCCAAACAGCTTCGTTTCCCCCTTGATCCTGGATATTTAGAAAATGTGACCAAACTTGGATGGTACTCTCTGGCCTCGTCAGTTTCCCCTGGCAATCATCAAACTGGTCTCTACGAGTATTTAATGTGCTAGGCTGGGCTACACCATACACCCACAACGTTTCAGTAATTTCATGAACACAGTGTTACTGAAGCAGAACAGGGAACACTGGCTCTGTATGGAGAGGTGCAGGAGGGCCAGGCAGTGGACAAAACCTGGAGGCTCAACCTGGAGAGGGATAGGATTTGAACAAGCTGGGAATGGGGGAAGGGAACATAAAGTGCAATAAACAGAAGCAAAAGGAAGGACAAGGGAAAGGCAGAGAACAGTGTCTTATTGTGTGGGGCTGCAGTACATACAGCCCAAGAGGAAAATACAAAATATCACTAAGGTTTGAGTAGCGCTTTATTTATTGAACTCACTTGAACTCATGACCCTGGGATTAAGACCTGAGCCTGATCCATCCAGGTGCCCCTGAGTAGCACTCTAAAAACGCTGCCGTGTCCACTGCTTCATCGGAAAGGTAAGAATTATCATTTGCATTTTAAAGATAAGAAAACCCAGACTCAGGGAAGTTGCGATTTGCCCAGTGTGACCACTAAGGGAAGGAATGCTCTGAAAACCAGCTTTGGTTCTGAGTGCAAGCATCTCTACCCCGCGGCCTCCTCTCCCCTCCTCCTTCCTCAAAGCCTCACCCATCTGTGTCAACTCACAGGTCAGCTGCTTTCCTAAATATCTTTATCTCACAATGTTATCACCGGGAGTCTCAGCTCTACCCCGCAGAACTATTATAAGGACTCAAGGTAGAAGTGAATGATGCACTGAGAGAAGGGGAGGGGAAGGCAGGGGAGAGGAGCGGGGAGAAAGGGAGGGAGGGAGGAGGGGGCGGAGAGCGAGACAGAGGAAGGGAGCATGCGTGTGTTTAAGAAAAGCTCAGTAACAGGTAAGTCCTTTGCTCTTCCCTCATCAAATCTGGGGTTTGAAAAAGTGCTCTCAAACCAACAGAAACTTGCCTGACAACATCCCCCCCACCCCCTTGACTCCTGCAGCTCTTGGTTACCGGTTAACAGCCAGGGCAGTTAAGACAGAATAAGGCTAGTGTCAACAGTTAGGAAGGAAGCAGATACAATAAGGCTCTTTACAATGCAAGACTGATTTCAGTTTACTCAAAAAAAAGAAAATGTTCTTAAAAAGAAGCAATGACCTGTTATGAAGGTGAGCAGTTTTATAACTTAACAGGAATTCTTATTCTAAACAAAGTCTGTATTCATCTCCTTACCATTATTGAAGAGTATGTGTTAAAACAAAATGATCACCTCTAATTTACCAAATAAATGCCTAACAAAACATACCAACAGTGGCGTCCAATTAGTGATCCTAGTATTAAGGTCAGGGAGTAAACTCTTACCTCCAGAGGTGAGCTGCAAAGGAACCTTGTGAACTGAAGAGTCACATTTGAGTATCAGGATCAGTTTCATCAATAAATGGGAAGCAAAAGACAACAAAAAAGGAAAAGTTATTATTACATATCTTTTCACTAACAGCATATAAAGTAAACTTTAAAGTCAATAAAATTAATGTTTTTGATACACTGTGTGGTTCATCCAGAGTATAGAAAAGTTCAATCTAGCCCACAGTTAGTATTTGAATTAGTTGAAATAAAATCTGCATAAAATCTATATAAAATGAATTAAAGCACAACAAATTAGTCTTAAAAGCTTTCATTTTTTAAGGTTTCCCCTTACAACCCCTACATAATAAAACACCCTCCAAGGGAGGAGTTAGCAATCTTCCTGACAATGAATGCCACAGGCAAAATTAAGTAAAGGCCAAGAGAAGGAAAAAGATAGAAACCAAAGGGGAACCAAGAAAAGAAACAAAAAGTCAAGAGCAGGCGAGGAGGCTGGGTGAGCAAGAGTGAGAGAAGGGGAGTCACCTCCACACCAGTGCCTGGCCCCAGTGTTCACCCCTCTGCCTTTCTCTTTCTCAGCTCACATGCATCCTTATTCTGTCATCTCTTTCTCTGACGCATGCCGAGGCTTACAGAATTTCATCTGAAACTAAGTGTTATATATGCCATTTCTCAGCATTTAAATAAAAAAACACAAATTTTGGCAGAGTAGGGAAGAGCCAGGAGCAAATGACAAAGCAAACTGCAGGTCAGCTCTGAAACGAGGACTGTCACATAACTCCATATATATTCATGATGATAATTCATATTTTTAGATGTTATTTATAAAATCAACATTTCAAATCCTTTGAGAGTTACTGTAATAGTAAAATACCCAAGTAGTATAAACTATTGATCTTTCTGAATGCAAAATAACAATAAAATAGGCCTGTTTCCAAGCACTCTTGAACTTCCTCTCCACAACAAAGCTAGCTAGTACTCACAGGGAATACAAATAATTTGATTCTCTTTTAGAGATACACTTGAAATATTTCCCAATGAAATTACATGATGTCTGGGATTTCCTTCAAAATCACTGGGGGGTCAGGAGGGAACTACTGTAGGATAGTGTGTAGATTAAAACAAGACTGGCCATTATATTAAACTGGCAAGAACAGAAGATGAATATAATGCAGATTCATAAAAATGACTTTATTTTGTGAATATTTCCAGTTCTCTATAATAAAGTTTAAAAAGTATATCAGACACTTTCTCCCCACAAAACTAAAGCAAAATATTCATAAAATGTCACTAGTGCACACCAAAGCCATGTAATTAACTAGTATCATTTAGGCCCTAGTTATTTTAGTAACTTTTGTCTTAATTTAAATACCAATATGCAATTTGATTATATTAACTGTTAAGAGAACTTTCTGAAAGTGCAAGATATACCAAAATTTTAAGTTTTCATAATGCTGATATGTAACAAATTAATTCTGTCAAAATTTAAAGTGCAATCTTGTGATCTTAGATTATTTTCATAGTAGCCCAACACAAGACAATCCCTACTCTTCCTCCCAGGAGTAAAAAGTAAGAACTGAAAGTTTTAACAGTGGAGAAAAATGAGGTATCACGAATTTTTTTTTTTAAGATTTTATTTATTTATTTGAGAGAGAGAGAATGAGAGATAGAGAGCACGAGAGGGAAGAGGGTCAGAGGGAGAAGCAGACTCCCTGCTGAGCAGGGAGCCCGATGCGGGACTCGATCCCGGGACTCCAGGATCATGACCTGAGCCGAAGGCAGTCGCTTAACCAACTGAGCCACCCAGGCACCCGAGGTATGGCGAATTTTTATTTCAAAATGAAAAAGTTGCTCTTGCACGGTTTCTGGGCTTTTCTCCACTATGTGCATGTCAACTATATGGTACGCATTATACTTCAGAACTGAAAAGTAGTTCTGGTTCAGTAGTAACTGTATCAGTTAGGATGGGGGTCACTTTAAATAATAAAGAGAAGCATATGATTACTCTCCAAGACTACGAAGGTCTCCTTGCAGGTCCAGTAACTGACACACACCTTTGTCACGTGTGTATGTAACATTCCCGTCACAGCTTTTTCAAAATAGACCTAAAAATTCCTACCCTGCTTGAAGCTGCCAAAACATGAAGTACATAAGTAAAAGTTCTCAATTCCCGAAGCAGTAAAAACAGAGTAACAAATCACAAGGCCCACATTCACTCTCCTATTCAAAGGACATGAAAAGGTCCAAAAATGCTACTTCTTGATTAGTGCACCAGAAAACCCACTGCTAGTTCCCTTCAGTTAGTTAGTAAATTTTCATTGTGAAACGACACATATTATATTCAATACAAATGGCAATACTTTGAAAAAGAACTATAAAAAAGCAAATTAATTATTACAATATATTTGTACATACACTATAACTGACAGTAGAAATAGATGCCTTCTAACAAATACCATCAGAATGTCTGATCAGTATAAAAATGGCTCAATGTTGCTGTTACGGCAACTAAAAAAACGATGGCCACATTCCGTAGTCCACGTTAATACCACTTTTCTAACAGTTATATTAATGCAGCTATTTAAAAAATATTACGTTATGGGCATAGTTAATAAGCTTAAGGGAAAGATCCTATTTTAGATATTTAGGCAAAATGTTGAGAAAATAAAGAATTTAATATGTTTACAAAATATCTTACTGATTTTACAGATAGGAATATACTTCGTCATTCCATAAACAATTGGAAGTAAATATAGCCATAGTTTTTATCTTTCTATGTATCTATTTTATTTTTTTTTTATTTTTAAAGATTTATTTATTTATTTGACAGAGAGATACAGCAAGAGAGGGAACACAAGCAGGGGCAGAGGGAGAGGGAGAAGCAGGCTTCCTGCTGAGCAGGGAGCCTGATGCGGGGCTCGATTCCAAGACCCTGGGATCATGACCTGAGCCAAAGGCAGACGCTTAATGACTGAGCCACCCAGGCGCCCTCTTTCTATGTATCTATTTTAAAGACTACTTCTGAGAAATGTTGATTTAATATAGTTGAAAATAGGAACAACCTGCCTGACATTTGGCTTTTCAAACGCAAACAGGTAAGTTTCTCAATACCAACATTAATAACATTACTTGGACTCACTTGCTAAAATTCATAAAAATTTTGTCAATGATCTCGTCCACTCCTGAATTTTTTTTTTAAGATTTTATTTATTTGACAGAAAGTGAGAGAGCAACAAGCAGGGGGAGCAGCAGAGAGAAAAGGAGAAGCAGGCTCCCCACGGAGCAAGGAGGCCAATGTGCGGTTCTCATGACCTGAGCAGAAGGCAGACGCTTAACAATTGAGCCACCCAGGCACCCCTGAATTTTTTTTAATTTTATTTATTTTTTGACAGAGAGAGAGAGAGACAGCGAGAGAGGGAACACAAGCAGGGGGAGTGGGAGAGGGAGAAGCAGGCTTCCCACTGAGCAGGGAGCCCGATGCGGGGCTCGATCCCAGGACCCTGGGATCATGACCTGAGTCCAAGGCAGACGCTTAAGGACTGAACCACCCAGGCACCCCGCCCCTGAATTTTTTTAAATAATAAGAAGTATGTTCCTTATTTAGCATCCAGGCATAAAGGGCATCAGTACCATTTAAGAAACCTTTCAGGCCTCTAAAAAGGAAAAAAGGATAGACCCAGATCAGTTCTCATGTTCCACACTACTTACCGACCTTGCTTCTCTTAAAGTATTCTTATCACTACTAGCTCCACTGGTAGCCTGTGTCATTAATACCCCATTCCTTCCAGAGAAGCACTTAGTGCTTACTAAAATTTTCTCAACAGTTTTCCAAGCACACAAAATTGTAGTTAAACTTCTTGTCAGTTATGATCAGAAAGTTCTTTCTTTTTCCGAGACTTGTCATCAACCAAGCCTGCTATGCTGGGGGGGGGGGGGGGGGGAGAGGGTGAGCGAGGCAAGAAGAAGGAGAGAAGAACGCACACTACTGGTTTTGCCAAAATATCCCGTTAAAACTATAATCAACTATTTATCTTTGTAATATAAAACATTCAACACATAAGTAATATAAGCTACTATATACCTGAAATGCCTTTTCTGTTTAATAAGGAACCATGTTAAATTCCTATATTTTAACAAAAAAAAGAAACACAATTTTTTATAAGGCACATTTTTTTTTCTAAACCGAAGAACATCAGTGAGTTATGCCTACTTGTCAAAGTGGAATTCAAGTCTTTCTTACAATTGTTTGTATAGATTACCCGAAATGTCCTTGCATTAACAAAATACTTCTGCTGCTCTGTTTCCTTGACCTTTCACCCTAGCTCACGGTACTTACAAATTGTCAGGGGACAAGTCTAATGATTTTAGGTTATAACCTAACAAAATCTTTATTTAAAACCTAAATCATACCTCAGTGTAAGACACTTAAGTTTTTCTATCAGGAATTTGGAAGTTTTGATTCAGTTAAGAGTCTAAAGTTAAATTAGGCTCCCTCTCCATTCTCCCACAACTGCTGGTACATATTTGGACTACTGGAAATTGACTGTTTTAAGGCAGTGCAAGAACTAAGTTTTATGTTAAGAATGTTATTTCTCGTGCGGGCGCCTGGGTGGCTCAGTCGTTAAGCATTTGCCTTCAGCTCAGGTCATGATCCCAGGGTCCTGGGATCGAGCCCCGCATCGGGCTCCCTGCTCGCAGGAAGCCTGCTTCTCCCTCTCCCACTCCCCCTGTTTGTGTTCCCTCTCTCACTGTGTGTCTCTGTCAAATAAATTAATAAAATCTTAAAAAAAAATGTGTTTCTCGTGAATCTCCAACTCTTAAAAATTAATTGATTCCACAAAAGAAAAAAGTTTTATTATTTCATTTCACTGAAGAAAAAACAAAACCTTCAAAAGCAGCCTACACAGCTAACACCCATTTAAAAAGTCATCCAGAGAATGGAAATTAAATCCGTTCTTAGCAGGGAGTCACAACTAAGGTCTGAGGGCAAAGATCCTGTTTATCCTCATTTCAGTGGGGAGTATAGGCAA